TTCCTTCTCACCTAACATTCTACCGGAGGTTCTCTGTTCCTGTATCCTGCATTTGGTGTAAACAGCTTAGATGCAAAAATGTATTGAACTTCTGCCCTCCGGGGATCCGCCATTGTGCTGTAAGCCTGTATTTAAGGTTTCCTCCCTCTTTCAATAAACGGCATTCAGCTGGCACTCGGCATTCAGCCGTGGCGAATGACTCGCTGTCTCTTGTCCCTTATTTTTTAATCCACAGCCCCTAGCTCGGACATGGTGAACGGGTGGTGGTAGCGCGGGCGTTATCCCTACAAATAATACTAGTTTGCATCTTCTTTTTAAAAATCCTTGTCCCTTGGCGGCTAGCAATACTTGGGAGGCTGAGGCAGGAGGACTGTCAAGAGTTCAAGGCCAGCCTAGGTTACACAGGGGGTTTTGTGTCAGTGGGTTGCAGAGTGAGACCCTGTCTCAAAGACAAAAACACAAAAATGAAAAACAACAACAAAAAGCACAGGGGCCGGAGGGACGGCTCAGGGGAAAGTGTCACCCGAACTGACATACCGGAGTGACATAGGGACCCCAGGCAGAAGTAAAGAACTAGTTCCTGAAAGGTGTACACACACACACACACACACACACACACACACACACACACACACACACACACACACACATACACAAATGTAAAAAATTTTTAAAATAGTAAATGAAGCCAACAGCCAGCGAGGGAAGAGGGAAGAGCTCCCATGCCTGTCTGCCGACTAACATGAACTATGACAAAAGATCCTGCCGGAACCACAACACTTGCCCTAGGCCACCATAAACTCACCCCAAGAACTGAGTTTTTAATTTAAAAACAGTAACCCACAGGCCAGGCGGGGGTATCACGCTCCTTTAATCCCAGCACTTGGGAGGCAGAGGCAGGTGGATCTCTGTGAGTTCGAGGCCAGCCTGGACTACCAAGTGAGTTCCAGGAAAGGCGCAAAGCTACACAGAGAAACCCTGTCTTGAAAAAACCAAAAAAAAAAAAAAAAAAAAAAAAGAAAGAAAAAAAAAAAGCCAACCAACCAAACAAACAAACAAAAAAAACAAAAAATAAAAACAGCATCTCACTCTGTAGCCCTGGCTGTCCTGGAACTTGCAATGTAGACCAATTGACTAGTTTCAAGCTCACAGACATTCACTTCTGCTTCTATGGTGGCATGAGCCACTGTGCCTGGTTCCAAGTTCCGAGGCCATCTGCCCAGCAACTTCCCAGGTGACTCTGGCCTGAATCACATTATTAATCCTTGTGGTTCAAGGTTATCGTTTTATAACAACTAGTGTGATTCTTGTGTTTTCCCTTTCCTTGCCTCTGTCTTCCTGGTGTGACGCTAACCCACACGGTCGGTGTGTTCCAGATGGGAACCCCCACCCATTCCTGACTAGTGCTTGGGTGTCCTGGCTGTTACACGTCAGCACTGGCAGGAAGGGGCAAAGGGTCCCTCCCTTACACGGAGAGACGGACATGAAAAATGGCGCAGCTAGTCTGCTCGGACAGCCCAGCCGTTTCTTAACCAGTGACATGTGCCGTCACCATATGGTCAGTGACGGCGTTCCTGGGCGCTCCTTCCACAGAATGGAAATGTGTGTTCATATAGAAAGCTGGCCCGGAGCGTTTGGTGCTGCTTTATTCATAGAGGGTAAGGCTGGAAGTGAGCAGCAGTCCTTTAGCAGGGGACTGCTCAGTCACACTGTGATACATCGTCCGTTTGCCCTGGCAATTGGAGACCAGCCAACTCTTAGAGAATCATGGCGTGTGCCAAGAGCCACTCCAAAGTCTACAGGTAGGCTGTGTGGCTGTAACTTACGAGAAGCAGCAGATTCTGAGGAGAGTGGGTCTGAATATTAGCACTGTAAGGAGCAGGGTGCAAGGAGGAGGGAGGGAGGTCCCGAGGAAGGGATGGGCCTGGGTGATAACTCAAGCAGTGTGGCCGTCATATAGTTAAGTAATGAGGTTGAATAGGGTCTCAAACCCATAGAAATACTCCTGTCAAACTGAGGAAATGGGAGCCATGTCTGTGGATGGAGTCGTGAGGGAAACGCGGTGAAATGTACAGGGTTCTCTCCACCTTATTTCTTTTTTAAAAATTATTTTATTATTTTTTATGTGTATGAGTATTTTGTCTACATGTATGTCTGTGTACCATTGTGTGTCTTGTGCCCATGGAGGCCAGAAGAGGGCATGGGATCTTCTAGAACTGGAGTTATAGAAGGCTGTGAACCACCACGTGGGTGCTGGGAATGGAGCCTGGGTCTTCTGGAAAAGCAGCCAGTGCTCTTAGTTTCTGAATTCTCTCTCCAGTCTCTATCTCATTCTCTTTTTCTTTCTTTCTTTTTTTTTTCAAGACAGAGTTTCCTTGTAACTTGCTCTGTAGACCAGCCTGCTTCTGCCTCCTGAGTGTTGGGATTAAAGACGTGCACCACCACCGCCCGGCCTTTTCCTGTTTCTTAAAATGACCCTGTGACTCTAGAGAGAGTGAAATGGCTCCATGGGGAGAGGGGTCTGACACACAAGACTGACCACCCAGAACCATAGGAAGGTAGAAAGAGAAGAACCGACTCCACAGAGTCATCTTCTGACCTCCACATGGGTACTGTGGCAGCCGCACACCCACACTCACACTTCACACACGCAATAAAAATCATACAAAAGTTGTAAAATGTCAGGTGGCTCCTTAGTAAGGACAAGACCTAACCTCCAAGCAGGATGTGCCCCATCAAAGTGTGGTGTCCTGAACTTTTAATCTATAGACTTACAGCAAACTCATTAATCTATAGACTTGCCCATTGACTAGTCATCCCTGACCTTTAGTCTAGAATTTTCCTTTCCCAACACAAAGAATGCTTAAGAGGCAGAAAGCGTAGTTACTCTGGCTCCATTGTTACAGTCAAATGATCAAACTATGCAGCATCAATACAAAAAAATTAATACTTGCCAATTAAAATATTTTTCTAGTGCTAGGGATCAAACCCAGGGCCTCAGGATGCCAATCATGTGCTCTAACTGAGATATTTCCCTAGGCCTCTAGGCTGGTCTAGAATTCATGGCAATCCTCCTGCCTCAGCCTCTTGGGTGCTGGCGTTACAGTTATGAGCCACTATGCTTGGCAATAAACACTCTACCAACTGCCATACCCCTGCACCCCTCGGCCCTGGAATATTTCCTGACGAGTATGAGAAACAAAAGAATTAGCCTAGCACAGCTTGGGAACACACTCCAGGTAGCAGCTGTGGGAGCAGTTAAGTATCTTTTGATTTTAGTACGGGTGATTGGACTAAGGGCTGTGCGTGCTAGGCAAGTGCTCTCGCCTATATCCCGGGCTCTGCGCGGTGATGGACACTGAGGACTCTCCTAGTCTTGCTTCTGTGACTCAGAATCAGCAGGCACAGAGCTGGGGTAGAGCTGACAGGGCTCCAGAAAGTTCTGCTGGAGGGAAGGCAGGAACCGTGGTGGGCCCTGTGGGACAGGGGCAAGTGAGTGTGAGCAGAAGCTTGGGAATTAGGCCGTGGCTCAGGTGAGGGGGCCTGTGTGGAACACGGTGTAGGTAGCTGAGGAGGAAAGCTCTTTTTTCCCTTTAATCTTTGAAATATGTTCAAGTGTGTTTAAAAAGCAATATAGGATTTACCATCTAACCATTTTATTTTATATTTTATTTTGAGACAGGATCTCACTATGTAACCTTTGCTGGCCCAGATCTTGTTATGTAGACCAGGCTAGCCTTGAACTCAAAAATATCTGCCTGCCTCTGCCTCCTGAGTGCTGGGATTAAAGGTGTGCGCCACTATGTCCTGATGACTTTTGAGTTTTGGCAGCATTTCAGGTAGATGAGCTTTGATCTGACTGGAGCTGGGGTGATTCTCCTGCCTCCACCTCCTCCCCACTCACTGGGATTTCAGTCGTCTCTAAGAATTGAACTTCTTGCAAACCTGTGAATAGACGTGTCCAGCACTGCATGCTGTGCTGGAGTCTTGGGCCCCAAGAACCGAGAGTAATAAACTCGCATGGGCTTGCTCAGGGAGTGAGGTAACTCTTCAAGGAGAGATGAGAGCAGGTTAAAGAGGCCCAGCCTGGGCTGCACGAGTGAGGGCCTCCTCCGGAGTTCGAAAGAAAGAGGAGTTAGTCATTGTCTTAGCGAGAGTTTCTATTGAGAGAGAGAGAGAGAGAGAGATCATGACCACGACAACTTTTTTTCTGAACATAAAAACAGGTTATAATTTAAAAGTCCAGGGTTATTTTAAACAGTAAAGTATTTTCTCTGTAGAAAATAGTAAAAATGATAACATTTCCCAATAAGCCCTTAGCTGAATTATACATATAAATGTTGATTAGATTCTGGGATACAGAAGAAACCTATCTTCATCTGTTCAGAGAGCTACGTTTTACTTAAGTTGGGTAAGTGAGATTCCTATTCATCTTCCCCTTCACTGTTTGATTTACGGCAGACATTTTTCTATAGGCTAATCCATAATCTAAAAGATTGTAGCCTCCCCTCCTGAAAGTACAGCCAGCATATCCTTTCATCAGCTTGATACAGTTCAAATTCTTATCCTAATAGTGAAATGTTTCACTAAAGCTTGCCCAGGTCCTGGCCTAGGCTGGGGGCTTGGACTCCCACCTACTTTGAACACCCAGAGCAGAACCTATCTCCAGCTGGTTCTCATATAGCGTGAGGAATTCCTGACAAGACACTCATGAGTAGAGGGTGGCCCCAGCAGCACACAGCACAAGTGTCTCATCCAGGATCTCCCCCTAGCCTCCCATCCAGCCGGGGAGACACAGGACCCCTGGCCCAGCCACACCCTAATAGCCAGACTTCAGTTCACAGGCCAAGGGGTGGGGCCAGGGTGACTTTGCTTCTAGGGGAGGGACACGGACCCTTTACTGCCAGGAACAAAGTCCTTCTCTGACTTGAGTCCAGGCAGGCTAAGCGGTCGCTGGCACCTTGGTTCTCTAGCTGGGCAACCTCCCCGTAGCCCCAGCCATGCAGGGAGACCGGGTGCTGCTATTGTTCTTGTTGGGTCTCAGGATACAACTCTCCTTTGGTGTCATCCCAGGTAAGAGGCTCCTTTCTAACTCCCACAGAAGGACTGCCACCCCCACTTGGACTAACCTGGGTCTTTCTCTTGACCAGTGGAGGAAGAGAACCCAGTCTTCTGGAACCAAAAGGCAGCCGAGGCCCTGGATGCTGCCAAGAAGCTGCAGCCCATTCAGACATCAGCCAAGAACCTTATCATCTTCCTGGGGGACGGTGAGTGTTCAAGGCCTGGCCACCCTGGGGCCCTTGCTCTCCAGGTACCCAAGACCACTGATGGGTCCAGGAAGGTCTGGGAGCTCAGCTCTGATCAGGTTTTGCTCCTTCAGGAATGGGGGTGCCCACAGTGACAGCCACCAGGATCCTAAAGGGACAGTTGGAAGGTCATCTAGGACCTGAGACACCCCTAGCCATGGACCGCTTCCCATACATGGCTCTGTCCAAGGTGAGTACTGGGACACATCTGGGATGGGGGTGGGGGGACTGGGTATGGCTGGAGGAGGAAGAACCCAGAACATCTGGGGTCCAAGTTGGCAACCAGGACAGTGAACATGTCTCAGGAAGCGAGGACTGATGTCTACCAGTAGGACACAGCTGAGAGTGTCTCTGTCCCCAGACATACAACGTGGACAGACAGGTCCCAGATAGTGCAGGCACAGCCACCGCCTATCTCTGTGGGGTCAAGGCCAACTACAAGACCATTGGCTTGAGCGCAGCTGCCCGATTCGACCAGTGCAACACCACGTTTGGCAACGAGGTCATCTCGGTGATGTATCGTGCCAAGCAAGCAGGTGAGTTGGAGCTGGGCTTGGGAGCTAGGGCAGGCCTGGATCACTGGGTGACCTTCTATAATCTGCAGGAAAGTCTGTGGGAGTGGTGACCACCACCAGGGTGCAGCACGCCTCCCCAGCTGGCACCTACGCGCACACGGTGAACCGTGACTGGTACTCGGATGCAGAAATGCCTGCCTCGGCGCTGCAGGAGGGCTGCAAGGACATCGCCACACAACTTGTCTCCAACATGGACATTGATGTGAGCTCCGAGAACCAGGGGGAGGGCTGGACCGAGGGATGAACCTTGGACTGGCCATAGTCCCAGGCATAAACATCCTGAACTCCAGGTCCTCTGGAGTACGTGTGAGGGGGTGTGGGAAGCCCAGGAGAGGCATATCCCACAGACATGGGTAGGGACACAGGAGCTGTCTGTCAGGAGGGGGTGGGGGCCCATAAAGCCCTAAGTCTACCTGTGTTGATCCTCTGACCAAAGGTGATTCTCGGTGGAGGTCGCAAGTTCATGTTTCCCAAGGGGACACCAGACCCTGAGTACCCAAATGACACTGCCCAAAATGGAAGCAGGCTGGATGGACAGAACCTCGTACAGGCGTGGCTAGCAAAGCACCAGGTGATGTGGGTTCCAGGGTAAGGGTCTAAGGCAGGGCCCAGGGCAGGACTGTGCTTCTCAGGTCTGTGTGCTAAGACTGGCTGTGTCCCCACAGGGGGCCCGGTATGTTTGGAACCGCACGGAGCTCATTCAGGTGTCCCAGGACCCCACAGTGACTCACCTCATGGGTAATGGCCTTGCTCTCCCTGCACTTGTCAGGGGGCCTCCTTAGAGTGTGTATGTGTGCCATGAGCCCTACCCACTTCCCATCTCAGTGGTCACCATGGATTCCTGTGCTTCTCAGGCCTCTTTGAACCAGCAGAAATGAAATATGACATCTACCGAGACCCTACCCAGGACCCCTCCCTGGCGGAGATGACAGAGGTGGCCGTGCGCATGCTGAGCAGGAACCCCCAAGGCTTCTACCTCTTTGTGGAAGGTGAGTGGTCGAGCCTGGCAGGGAAAGAGGTGGGGCCAGGTGTCCAGAGCAAACTCAAGCATCTCTCCCATCACTGACTTCCTGCAGGGGGTCGTATTGACCAAGGCCATCATGCGGGCACAGCCTACCTGGCATTGACTGAGGCCGTCATGTTCGACTCAGCCATTGATAAAGCGGACCAGCTCACCAGTGAGCAGGACACGATGATCCTTGTCACTGCTGACCACTCCCACGTCTTCTCCTTTGGTGGCTACACACTTCGGGGGACCTCCATCTTCGGTAGGCCAAGGGACAGTGTCAGGCAGTGTTGTCTCAAGTACATGGGGACAGTTTCCTCACCTGTCAAAATGGCACAAGGAGCACCTGCCTTGTAGGGATCGGTGACAATTTAACCACTGAGCAGGCAAAATGAGCTCACCCACACTCCAAAAGCAGTTGTCAGTACGAGGACAAGGTGTCTCACTTCCTCCATGCAGGTCTGGCTCCACTCAGTGCTCTAGACGGCAAATCCTACACCTCCATTCTCTACGGCAACGGCCCGGGCTACGCTCTTGATTCAGGAGACCGGCCCAATGTCAACAGTACTGAGAGTGGTAAGTGCCTTAGCGCTGCCTAACTGGGGCTGCAAACAGACGCGGGTCCCCGCCCCTGAACACCCTGTCTTCCGTAGGTGAGCCCTCGTACCGGCAGCAGGCGGCTGTACCGCTGTCCTCAGAGACCCACGGCGGGGAGGACGTGGCGATATTCGCGCGTGGCCCGCAGGCACACCTGGTGCACGGAGTGCAGGAGCAGAGCTACATCGCACACGTCATGGCCTTTGCAGGCTGCCTGGAGCCCTACACCGACTGCGACCTGGCGCCCCCTGCCGGCCAGAGCCCCACCACCCCGGGCCAGACCACCACCACCCCGGGCCAGAGAGAGACTGCAGTTACAAATAGTGCAGTCGGCCAGGCCACTGTCTTGCTGTCCCTGAAACTGCTGGTCAGCACACTGCTATTACTAGGGACCGTCATGGTGACATCCTGATGGTCCAGTCCCCCGCTGGGGAGCCGCTGGTTCCTTTCACACACCCACACACCCACTATGGTTTCCTTTGCCCTGTCTATCCTGTGTTCACCATGCTCCACCCTAGGTCTCTGCTGGGTTTGCGCCCCAATTTGGTAGTTCTCTTATCAGATGTTGAGACACCAGTTTAGCCCACAGCTTTAGCGGCCACCTCTGAGAGAACACTCTGGGCTTTATAACTTGGCCCAGGGTTTCTGCTTCTCTCCTGGCTGAATCCGGAGTGGGAGATACCAAATGGTACTCAAGAGGCTGAGGCCCAGGGTTGCCCTAGACTCCCCTTCACACCATCACCCTTTATGGGGACCCAAGTAACTTAGCTTTTCAGGCCTTGGCTTGCTCCCATGCTCCTTCCATGAAAGGAAATCAAGCAGAGATCCAGGAGGCTGTGGGGTCTCTGCAAGCAGCCCAAAGCAGCCTTTGGCCTCCACCCCTGTCCATCTCAGGCTGCACATAGAAACTGAACAAAGAGTATTTCCACCCTTGGGACTGCCAGTCCTTGAAGAGACATAACAACAATAAAATGAACTGTTCCAAGGGACAGTGTCTCCAGTACTTCCTAGTAAGAAAACTCTGGGCCCCTGGGGAGCACAGTACAAGTGGACAGGTGGATGTTAGGAGGTTGGGGAGAGGTGGTCTGAGGAACAGATAGTTGAGTGAAAGCGGACAAAGTGGAGTGAGTCATAACCTTCAGGTTCTGCCTTCTGACCAAAAGCTGCAGGTCTCCAGAAGGTCAAAATGCTAAGATACAGACAGCTCAGCCCTGGCCTGAGGCCCCTTAGCTGGTTGGAGAGGTAGGGCCGTGGGGTGCAGCAAAGAGACCAGGTGAGAGCAGCCTGGGGCTAGACTCAGAAGCTGCTCAGGTGGAGGCCAGGAGAGGGCTGGATGGCCAGCTCAAGCACCTGCACCCTTTAATATGCCCAGAGGGTGGCAGTTGGCCTGGCCGGGGCAGACTTGATGGCAGTTCCTGGGACTCATCCCTGCCCTCCGTCTCTCAGGCCACATCCTTCGCAAGATGGGCAGAGACCAGGAGGCTCTTCCCAAGGTGGTCAGGGCAGATAGCTGTGGCCACACCTGCCCTGGAGAACATTCAGACTCTCCACCTCACCATCCCAGGAGGCAAGGGCAGTTCAGGAGGACCCCAATCTGCCCAGGCTCCCATGAGGCAGCAGTGAGCGCCAGCATGTGACCTGGGGGATCTGGATTTGTGCTCTGATGCTCCCACCTGCTTCCTGTAGTGCGGCTTTAGCAGAGGCACAAAGGATAAAGGCCACTGAGTAGATAGCTGTAGGAGGCTGGCAGAGGGTCTCTGCAGAGGGGTCCTGAGGCAAGAGCTGGGAGTGCAGGAATGGGAGATCTACAGCCTTACCTGCAGTTTGTGGGGCAGATGAGCTGTGACGCCTGCTGAAGACGATACTTCAAAGCTAGCAACACCTTCTCATCCTCAGATGCGGCTGTGGGACCGAGATTAGGAAACAAAGGACAGTGAGCACATGGGTCTCCAGGGACATAGGGAACCTTGAACATCCCTGGGAAGATGACCCAGGGTTCCAGAACCTTCCTCACATTGCCTGTCCATCAGGTCTGGACATCCCTCATATGAGAGTTTTCTCCAGCTGCTCCAGACTCACGCTGCTGTACATGGAGATGCCCACCTGCAGAGGGATGATTATACTTTGACATAGAGCTCTGGGGTGCAGAGCAGACTGACCCAGTCCTTATCTGTATGCCCTGTCCCTGTCCCAGCCCTAGCCTGGCAGCCCCCAGCTCCTGCTGCTCACATTGGTTAGCCACTGTTCCAGCTGTAGATCCTACACAACATCTGCTTCTTCTGTTTCACATCTGCCTCCAACAGGCTGGGCAGATGTTCCTAGGACACCCTGTATGCTATCAGGATCTACACCAGAACAGAGGCTTCTCCATGAGGCTGAGGATGGGAGAAATTCCTCTGAGATCTGGACACCAACTTCATTGGGGCTATTGCCTCTTCCTCTGACGTCCTTACTTAAGTGGTAGATATCATGGCCTCCAAGGCTTGACTCCTTGATTTCTCCAGGAAAATTATTTACTCCCTCCTCCAGGGTTCTGCCTGAGTACACATCTTCCTAGATGCCCCCTGCCCCCCAGTACCAGGCCACCTCCTGGATTCCCAGCATCGGGGGAGCTCCCTGGGATAACACTCGCACTGGCGCACAGTGGGAAGAGTTTGTGTGGTCCAACCTGACAGTGAAGAAGACAGCCACGCTGTCCATGTCTGAGCCTCATTCCGCAGCTGTCTGAGGTTCAGAGTCTTTGCAGGTGGTGACATTGGCCCAAGTGTTCAGAGCCTACACGGTAATTATGGTATCAGTGCTCCAGGGGCTTCATCTTTTATGGGCTTGACTCTTCCCATGACACGAAGGCTCTCCATATAACCCTAACTGAGCCTGTGGCAGATGGCCAACCCCCCCCCCCCCCCAGCTCTGTGGTGAGCACTCCTTTTGGCCCACCCACAGCAGAACACAATGTACCTAACTGCTCAGTGGAGCAGCGTTAGCTGTGTATGACAGACTTCCTTGGAGACCTTTCAGTCAGGAAGGTTGAGAAGGCCATGGGGGTGGCTGAGCCTTTCCTCCTGTTCCTTAAATGCATGGGCAGATCTGGCCTGAGAGGAGAGACGGCTGGATGGGAGCTGAAATGACTGTGCCCAGGTGCTTTGTACCTGCCAATCGAACCCCTAATCACATGAGGTCTGCTGCACATGACCCCATCTTTCTTCAGCAGGAGGCAGGATGGTCACACTGCTTCTGTCTGTCGCTGGGGCAGGCTCCCATGAGAGAAATGTGGAGAGTGCCTGGGGTACTTGCCTGGAGGCAGGGGTGCCCTGTGTCTTGTGGTGCTCCCTGTGCATGCTGGACCTTCTGGTGGTCCACATCTATCCCCAGCCCCTGCCATGTGTTCCCTGAGTGTCGAGGACTGTCACTAAGCTCTTAGTGAGCTGTCCTGGTGAGATCTGGGAGACAGAAGCAGTCAGGAACCATCCCTGCTCCTTCACAGAGAGTAGACAGACCCTGACAGCCCACCCCTAAGAGCAGTTCTACCATCTGGTGTCCTCAAGCCCAGGCAAAAATTATTTAAAAGTAGAAGGAATAGAGGCCCCCCCACCTCCCCTCATACACAGTCACAATCTCTGTGAAAGATTAAAACATTTTTCATCGTGTATATTCACTGGTAAGTTTTTGGTTTTTTGTTTCATCTGTTTCCAGTTTTGTTCATTTGAGTCAGGGTCTCCAGTAGCCCAGGCTTCCCAGGCTTTGAACTTTTGGTTCTTCTGACTCCCGAGCCTCGAGATGACAGCATGCGTCACTATGGCCAATTTATGTGGCACTGAGGACCGAACCGGGCTCCAGGCACATAGACAAGCACTCTTATAACTGAGCCCCAGCCCCGGGCGTTTGTTTATTCATCCCAGGCTTCTCTGGACCTCACTATGCAGACAAGGACGACCTTGAACTCCCCATCCTCCTGTCTCAATCTACTGAGTGCTGAAGGGAAAACTACACACTGCCACATGTGGTTCTGTGGCCTGTGTCTCCGACCCCACAGTGGAGCTGTCAATGGAAGACAACAGCTATTATCCCCATAGTCAGGTGAATCAGACAGGAGGTGGACACAGGGATCCAGGTGGCCCCGAGTGTCTGGGTTGTCTATAGCCTTTAGGTACAGATGAACATTTTTGTTTGTTTGTTTTTCGAGACAGGGTTCCTCTGTGTAGCTTTGGAGACTGTCCTGGAACTCACTCTGTAGACCAGGCTGACCTTGAACTCATAGAGATCCTCCTGCCTCTGCCTCCTGAGTGCTGGGATTAAAGGTGTGTGCCACCACCGCCCAGCCGAACATTTTTTTTTCAAGACAGGGTTTCTTTGTGTAGTTCTGCCTGTCCTGGAACTGGCTCTGTAGACCAGGCTGACCTTGAACTCTCAGAGATCTGCTTGCCACTGCCTCCTGAGGACTGGGATCAAAAGTGTGTGCCACCACATCTGGCTTGATTGGTTGGTTTTGTTTTGTTTTATTTTATTTTTTCAAGACAGGGTTTTTCTGTGTAGCTTTGGCTGTTCTGGAACTCACTATGTAGACCAGGCTGGCCTCAAACTCCTAGAGATCTACCTGCCTCTACCTCCTGAGTGCTGGAATTAAAGGCGTGCACCACCACTGCCCAGTGTTTGGTTGGTTTTGAGTCAATGTATTTGCTATGTATTTGCAGGAGCACAGAATAGCCTTTAATCTCCCTTCCATCTTCCTGCCAAGGGTCAGAAGACCTGCTTTTACGACCTTGAGCCACCAGACCTCGATGGATCATGTTTCTCTGATCTCCTCATCCATCCATGAACACATGACTTACCCTCACACCTCTTGGTTACAGTGAATAATGCTGAACCTCATACACACAGAATCTGGGCTTAAACTATACTCTGAAGTGGGATCACTGCATCGCTAGAGGAAGCTCCCAGTTCCTTATCCTAGGTTACACTTGCAGATGTGCCCAGGATCTATGCAGAGCACTCACCTTGGGATCTCTCCACCTGTCCAAGAAAATAGGGGTTAACACCAAGGGTAAAACCTGCCTGCTCCTCAGAAAGACCCAGGCCTTGCCTTGGTTTGGCTCAGGATCTTGTACAACCTCCATTTCCGTTTGCATTCAAACACACTCAAAAGTAGCTACAATACACACGAGGGTCTGGACCCAGCAGCTCATTCTTTCCAATTCAATACTTCTCCTGGCCAATGCTCCTGGATATCTTACCTGCTCCAAGTCCAGGGGAGAGGAAATTGGGAGTAACTCTCACTGAAACAAGAAACGTAATGGATCCTCAAGGGACAGAGTAGCAGAGGGTTGATGAGCACTGCAATATAATATTACAGTAACTGGGCCGGGTGGTGGTGGCACACGCCTTTAATCCCAGCACTTGGGAGGCAGAGGCAGG